TGGTCCTACGATGAATGTGATACACGAGGAAAGTCCTCATCAAGAGCAAGCACCTCCTAGGAGTGCACCGACCTTCGGGGTAAGGATAAGATGGAGTCAACGGCCCATCGGTATTTAGGAGGGGCCGCGCTTTGGGGCTGCAGAAGCCCGATCACCGGAGGAACGGGCGGTGGCTGCGCGACGTAGGAATAACATGCTGCGGACAAGCCTTCCGAATAGGCGCAGTACAATTGATAATTTCTTGTGAGTTGATGCCTCCTTGTTGTGGTGGTAGTGGTGAATGATCAGTTTGTTGTTAGGAATAGAGACTTCAGGAGGTCCCTGTCGGCGGACACCAGGATAGAGAATGAGCCTCCGGTACCATGCAGTGTGTGTTTAGATGTATTGAGACCAAGATGTTTTACAGGGTGATGCTTATGAGGATAAGGAGAACTATCACAGGAGCAGTAACATGACTGAGGGCCGCCTCCGTAACCATCATCTGGATCAGACTGCAGCTTTCGGGTAGGATGGAGGTATAACAATGAATCGATAATGTACTGGTGTTATGGTATTGCTTTGTAAACGGTTGGTGATGGTTCGCAGATCGCATTCTTTTAGATCGTTTGAGCCGGCACAAGTCTCCCCTAGACTTAAGAGGAGGTCTACCACGGGTGGTGTCCCCAACCGTCCGGCCCGGGCGGTATTGTTCAGTAGAGGCACGGGCAACGCCGACATACGGGATGTCCATGCAATGTGTTGTGATGCATGCCCGTGTAAAAACGGGGGTAAGGCTGTGTGCTGCGAGCATTGCTCACTGAAGGATGAGAACCGCCATAAGAAACGGGCTGATCGAGGTGAGTTACTCATCATCCACTGTTTGTGATTTCCGAACCGAACGGTTTGGTTCTGAGAATACGACTATAGACTGTGACCCGTATGTGAGGAAATGTGAATCGATTCATATGGTAGTCACGATGTAGTCTGATGAACTATAGTTAATTGGGGAAGTTATTTATTCGCACTGCGTGTCTGAACTAATTTAGGGTGAATGTATGTGATGGTTCCTCAGGTGAAGTGAAGGACACAGCCTGCAACACTGACTGGGAGGGCGAGGGGGTCACCAAGGGGGGTCTCTCTAATGCAGTAAAGATGAGGAGAAAGAGGCCTCGGAATAGCTCGTAGGCCTCATCAGCCCCTCCTCAACTGTATGTCTAGTCTCAGGCCATCTGATGAAAATGGACAAGAGGGCCGACGACGTTCATCTGAGGATGTCTGCCACCACATTGGGCCTTGGCGTGGAGAAGTGCCACCGAGGTAGGGAAAGGGGGGGTCTTGCTGATGATGATCGTGGTCAGACCTACTCCGCCAGAGGATGCTGCTGTGCCTGAGCGTATTGCTAGGCCGGAAGTCAGGAAGGCA